ATTTGGGAAAATAAATAAGAATATATTGCCAAGACTCTAAGAATTAAAACCGATATGTTCTATCTACTGACGATTATGTCTAAGTTATTATTGACCAAAATGCACTTTATAAGTTTAAAAATAATTTTTAACGAAAACGACGGTGGTTTACAAATCAGGTACCTGGAAATCATCAAATCGTAAATAAAGCGAATATTTAAATCTTCGCAGTGGGAGGACGGATGAGAAAATCTTTATTGGAAAACTAGCGCTAATAGGAAACAATAATTTCCTCGTGATCTTCCCCTACTAGCTGTCTTCTTTTATTTACGGTGGATCCCGGAAATTGAACCGTTTTATCCATGTTAAACATAGAAGTAGGAAGTAAAAATAAATATTTTCTTGGATCGGCATTATTATCTGAGATAGTTTCATTTCCGCATTCAAGATCGTTTTTTTTTAACTACATTTTCTTTTGTGATGTTCCGTCTACGATAGAAAAGGACGTAAATGAAAGAAAATAAAAAGAATTGGTGCAAACAAGCGTGAACTAAATTGCAGTATAACAGAAACAGCCGAAGTGTACGTTTCTCCGAGACCAACTTTAGAGTAAAAGGGAAAAAGATTTCCACAGCTTAGAGGAAAGCGGGAAGGTGACTGGGAGAGTAGATATTGTCGTAGTCAGGCGCCGGACCACGTGGCCTTTTGCCAAGTAGATAGCCGATTAGATCTCACAATTCGTTTTTAATGTCATTGACAAGGTGACCGGTCAGGGCTTACACTCCCATGCTATCCCGTTACAGAATGAGGTCGATTAGCCAGTGTTTTATGGTATCCCGCAAAGAAAGTTTTTTTTTTCCGATATTTGAGACGTATGCGAGAAAATGGACTTTTAATCACTTTTAGAAAGAGTTCTTCTTAAGTCGCAAAAAAAAAGCGCTTCTTAGAAGGCACTCTGCTAAATAGATTTAAAATTAATTTGGAAAATTTGTAAAGAAAGTGTCACTATTTAGTACCAACTAAAGAACATTCGAAGGCATTCTTTATTATAGTTTATTATTTTCTTATTTGTATTAATGCAGAAAATCCACACGAATCTTTATTTTATTATTAGTATTAAAAATATGAAGCAAGATAATATATGCATTTATTTATACAAGTCTGAAATATTTTCATATTATCCGGTTCAGAAGTAAATAATAAAACAAAATCTTTTATTATAGCGATTGAAAAGAGTCGTGGGACAGTAGTACAAAGTTTAACTTCAGATTTAAGTTAGATTTTAACTAGAAAATGAAACATTTCAAATACCCTTTCTAATCTTCTTTTAAATTCATAAATTTTACTTTTAAATTTACATCAATCTAAGCTTCTTAGTTTTAAATTCCAGACTAAAATAATTACCTTTATTATTTATCATTTTACAGTTCTAGGAATGTTTTTTATTTCAAATTTAATGAAACCCAACGTCATCTGAATAGCTTAAAAAATGTTGCACATTCACATACGTATACAAAATTCACATACGTATACAAAATACGTATACAATTCACATACGTATACTCAAATGTTGGCAATCATTACATGTAATTAATCAAAATATTCCACTAAGCAGAAAAGAAACCACACTTTAGTCTGATTTATGTCAGTTTTTAATGCTGTCGTTATTCATGTAAAATGCATACACATGTTAAATTATCGCAAGATATGCACCTCTAGAAAGAAGTACTCTATATGCATTATGTCAAAGAAGCATAAATTATTTAAAATAAATGTATGTCTATGTTTTGATGTATATGCAGCGCATTGTTTACAAGCCAATTAAAAATTTCCCTTCTAAGTAAAACCGTACATTTTAATACTGAAAATTTCAAAATTCCATGTCGGTCTTTTGCAAAATATGCAATGGTCTGTTGAAAGATTAGACGCAATATTGTCATGTAGATTTTTATCATAATAATGCAGTTTCTGATGTGGAACACTCGTTAAATGCAGTGTTATGTCAGGAATTGTTATTTTAAGACGATAATTAGATTTTAGAAATCAAACCCATATACGTAACAATGTGAAGCAAAGTTCAGAATTATGTTAAGACAGATATATAATGCTGATATTGAAGATAGGTCATAAGCTAAAACTCCGGAACTTATGTAATTTTGTACAAAGTCCGATTCTCTGCAGAATGGATATATTTCTTGTATCAATTTTCGGGAACTGTAACGCGTCACAAAGCTTTTCCAGCGTTTCGTTTCTTATACTATAATAAATGTATTGAATCTTGAAAATGAGCGATTGTTAAACGTAATTCTTGTTTTAAAGTATAATCAGAGAACGTTTCGCATTTATTTGTTTTTACATCATTTTGAATATTGACATAATCTTCAGAAAACATAGTATAAAAGCATTTGATTAATATTGAATATGTGTACAATGTCAAAAACTAAACACAGAGCATCAATTGTGCAAAGGTATTTCAAAAATTTTATGCAGCGCACTGTTTACAAGCCATGGCTTGTAAACAGTGCGCTGCATCTTGAGAATTAAGTTAAGAAATATTATTTTAAATGCACTGCTGTTATAAAATGATGTCTAGTATTATAGAAGACGTCCTATAAAAATACCGATATGTATATATAGAAATACCGATATGTATATATAGAAATACCGATGTTCTATTTAAAATGGTCCAATAAAATATTTCTAAAAATAGCGTCGCTAAGAAAAGGTCAATGAACGAATCATTGCATAATTCATTTAACGATAGTTAGCAAATGAATTTGTAAGTCAACATATTATTTTCTGCGACTGAGGTCAAGAACATATATCTATGTACATATTATTTCATGAAGCAATTATCATCATAACTCACCCAAAATTGATTTCGTTCTTGGCAAATGAGTATTATTTTACACAAACATGATCCGTGTATTTTTATACAGCGATCAATAAACGTAACTGTTTCAACTTCCGAATGCATCAGATGCTTATCAATTGTGTAGAAAATAAACATTGTTATTTTATATTATGTAATAAATAAAATTTAAAAATCACCAATATCCTATGCAATTAATGTTATTGTATCCGAATACAGCGAATTCCATGTATATGAAAATCACATAAGCAACTACATGGATATGTAAGATTTCACTTTTTTTATAATCGTGTTTTTAGAATTTCAATAAGTGTTCAGCTGAAAAATTACTAATCTTTAAAATTACTGATGGTTTAGAATTCCATCCATGTTAGAAGATCGGAAAACTCGTATCTTTTCTTTTTATTTTCATCCCCCACATTTCTATGTTCTAATAAAGTCTATGCAATGCAGCTGTAACACCTAATTCTTAAAGAAGTAGAACACAAGATAAGCATGTCTTTGGATATCATCTGATAACCGTAAAATACTGAACTTAAGATTTTAAATGTGGTTTCTAATTCCATTCATTTTCTTTGATTGGGTTGTCAGATGAAACTCTAATGCTATGATGGAAATTTTGCTGTTCAGGAAAAAAAAAAAGTAGTGAACAGATTTTCATTATCCTGAGCTTAAGTCTGTGCTGAAGATTCGTCTTTCAAAGAGTAATTTGTTTATCGCTATCGAGTTGTTCCAGTAAAACAGCTGCCGAAGTTCTTTAGTCGAGATAGGTAGGGTTGCAACCTTTAAGTTTTTGCAAGATTTGGGTTATTCTTTAAAACAGCTATTGCACTCCTGCTTTTGATACATTTCTTAGTGAAAATTAATGTATTCTCACTGGACGTTGGCTACGTCAGATAAGTGATGAAATTCTCTTCGTTTTTCATATTTTCTAAAGAACGAAAATTCATATATTCTTTCACTTATCTTCGTTAAAATTTTGTGGTGCCGAGGAAATTTTCGGTATTCAAATTCATCCGTAAGCAGTTTTGTAATGAAGGTGAGTTAATTTTCAAAATATAAGAATAAATGTAACCAAATGATACATGCGATGAACATAGCTTACGCAAATCTGCATTTGATACCATATGTAAAAATTAAGACAAGATCTTTTTCTAATAAATAAATAATATTTCGATAGGAAAGAAAAATTTAACTGGTTTACTGTTCAACGAAATAGTATCCTGCGATTATCTGGACTATTGCTAATAAAAATATGTAGTGTAGATGGAGATGTGTAACTGAAGGAAGAAGTCTAAACGATAACTCTTAAGCTAATTTTTTGAACTGTTAAGCTAAGATGATTTTTTTATCGTACGACGAAACTAAAATATGATGAAAAATAAATTTAGTACTTGCCTAGTAATATTTAGAATTAAATTTTAATATTGTTCGTGAAAATTAGGGTTATTATTCATTTCTTTTTTTGAGATGTGACAAAAATGATTTTTTTTTCTTGTGATTCATTAATCAATTTGCACACGCTTTTCCGTGGGAAGAGCATTTTTTTCTTATCAGATCAGAAACAGATAGCTATACCTCTCTTTCTTACCTGTTAAAGTATTTGTCACTTAAACGATTATTGATTAAATAAATTTACAAAGTAGAATGAGAAATTATTAGCGGAGAGCTATTCAGAGTGTACGAAAAAAGGCAATTCACTTACAACAATAATTTCATTAGACTAGAATAGAAGAGAAACACGCTAATGTGACAATCAAAATCGTAAAAACAACCTTGTATTTAGCGTAAGTATATTGAAACACTCAATCGATTTCGAGGGCAGCTAAAGGTCCCTCCTCATCAGGAGAAAGAAATACCTAGAAAGAAGAAAAATAAAGGGGAAGGAGTCTCAGAAACACGTGGTCCTTATCAGCACTGCACGTGGTTATAACCGGATTTTTAATCAGAGTTACACTGGCCGCCTACTTTTACTGAGCCAGGCTATCTGATCAAACATGTAACACAAAGAACAAGAAAATTGGTGAAGTTAAAAATAGGGAGCGAGGGGCAACTGAACCTTCAAGCTCAAAATCTGAACTTCAAATAATGATTTCTTTGTCTGTAATCGAAAAATATACTAACGTATTTTCTGTTTGTTTCTTTTCAGGACGATTACGATGAGGTGGATACCTCGGAGCCTCTTGAGCCTGCAGGCCAGATTCAGTTTAGCCTTGAATATGACTTTTATGCCTCGACCTTAGTGCTGAGGATTATCCAGGGAAGAGATCTACCAGCCAAAGACATAATCGGTAAAATTATGTTGTATAAATAATATGTTTATTTAATTAAGACACAATAACACGCCGAATAAATACTAATTCAGAAGTCAAACAACAAAAATCAGCGTTAATTTACAAAATTTTCACAGTGAAAATTTTGTAAATTAACGCTGATTTTTGTTGTTTGACTTCTGAATTAATATGTTTATTTGTTTCAAAGTGACCATTCTAATGCAAGAGAATCTTCTCGGTAATTCAAGCGCCGATTAAACGAGGTTTTGCAATTCTGAATGAACATAAAAGTTAATTATGCAACGTATTTACTTCCTTGAACGAAGTATTGTAATCACGAAAAATTCCGGATACCATATATCAAAGAAGATATCCATTTAGACCGCTATCGAATGCAATTGAACGGTATTTTTTCCATGACATCTGTACGTATGAGCAGAATAAAAGACTCCTTTACCCTAAAAAAATTATAAAACTGATTTAAAATGGGTTCTGAAGAGATTTCTTTCGTGGCGTCCGTCCGCCCGTACGTATGTATGTATGTATCTCGCATAATTCAAAAACGAACAGAACGTACTCCACTATTTAGTGGCAATCGACCCCACCAAAAGCGAATAAATAAATAAATATATATATATATATATGTGTGTGTGTACCCACTCTGTTACTCGGCTCCGTGACCTCAGTTTATTTATTCTTATATGGTCGTAAATTGTGAGTTTTTTGCTTCAAAAATGTATGATCTATGTTGTTCTTATCTTCCGATTAAGCTTTTTATGCCTTTAATTGGCCTGCATGTAATATTTGTAGAATTATCAACAATTTAAAAGTTGTTTAAGTGTGGCTAAGCCTAATTTTTGTTTACCAATACAGCCATATTTGCCTACATTTGAAACTTAGATGAATAGTGGATTTGTTGCCAATCTAAAGAAACTATGCTTCGCAACAACAACGATAACGTCTTCTTTTATTATTACGAATTAACTCATGCTTAATCCATTCTGGAATTAACATTTAAGTTATTAAATTATCTCACATATTAACTTAGCGTCCAAAACAAATTAAGTCAGTTTCTACTTTATCAGTGTCTTTTTGCCTAGTGAGACCAAAAGTAAACTTTCAGTTTTGTGCGGCGAAAATTCTACCTTCTTGTCCGCTGGCCGAATTGTTTGTTTTTGCGTAGAAACTCTAATTTTAATTGTCAAAGTTGTTAAATTGTTTGTTCGTTTAGTTTTATATTCTATATTTTTCAATTTAAATAAAACTATTTTGAGGTTTCTTGCATTTTTGCCTTATCGCGAAATTAGAACTGATTTAATTGAATGAGAAATATATATCTAATGAAATTCGAGAAAATAAAATTAAATGAATTACAGGAAATAATTCGTATAATTTAATATTACGTACACGTCATGTGGCCCACACATCAGATTTGTTATGTATAAATATTGTCTCGCATTAATATTCTACGACGAGCGCAAAAGGTTCTCTCATAGTGTTTTATACAGATGATCACTGAGACTTATTTTACAGATCGATCAGTTTATTGAACCTTACTTGCAAATCATCAGTTGATATTTTGGTTTTGAAGATACTGCTCAAAATTGCGGTATAGAAGCAACAAGCGTCTACAAACAAGAAAATTGTAAAGGAATCAAATCGAAATAAAAACATTTTTATAAATTTGCAGCACTAATTTCTGTAAACAAACCTTCGAAACTAGTACTCCAAACTGATAACCGCTGAATTATGTTGCCTGAACTTTCTAATAAATTCAAATAAAATCAGGAAAACATAACCATCAATGAAGTACAACTGGGACAAAAAGGATTTTCATTCTATTCGGATTATTTTTTTTTTCGGTCTTTTTTTCTGTAATGCATTTATGCCCTGTACAAACAGCAATGTAGCCGTTCGAAAAGCCTCATTCGCGCAGACCGATAATTTGTTAGCACCTGAACTCTGTAGTTTCCTTATACGGTGATATTTGACGAATGGTGACACTGATATAGGTGACAGGTGAGAGCAGGTCCGGACACCCGGACGTCTTACATAGACTAGTCGGGTATCGTCCGTATCCCGCAACTATCTGAAGCTACACTCCGAAAACAATACAAGGGCAAAATACATGGCCATACAAGGGCAAAATATAGATTTTTCTGCATGCGAAATTAAACATTTTCCTGGCTACATCGCATGTTAACACATTGCTACACATACTCGCTACAATATACATTTCATAATATGCATTGCGTTGATCATTGCACTGTACTAAGGCACATTTACAACTCAATGCTACACTTAATACACTATATATTCTTTGCAACATATTACGCTGAACATTATTCCTGACAATTCAACATAGATTCTGAACAATGTAATTGTTTAAATAAGACATAACTGGATTATATAACACATAACTTCGTTATATAAGACAGACTTAAATAAATAACTTGAGACAACAGATAAATAAATTAGGAGCTCTTAAATAAAGAGCAAAATTGCACATTACAAACAAATTACACATTTTGCACACAGAAATCCTCTTTGTTTACTTTGTGCTGTACTTATTATATACTAAATACAGATTTAAGGACACAGTACAGCCCATATTACTTTTGATTAAATAACATGTTAAAAGTTAACTCTGGCATAAATTTTGCTGTATTCTTAAAACATACCAAAAAATAACTTTGTAATTAAACATTCTACTGGTTACTTTGCACCTTAACATACTGCTATATATAAAACACTCAATACACTAAAATTTTTATAATACATATTACATTGAACACTGCACTATATTTAGGATACCTTACAAAACTCATTTCTACACTTAATGCACTGTGTGTATTGGCTGCATATTACATTGAACATTACTCTTGATTAAATAATATAGGCAGCGGTAGTAACTCTTTGTTATATACAACATAATTCTTAATACAAAAAGCTTATAAAAACACTGTTAGAAATACACATCGAGGGAAAAATTACAGGGATTAAATTAATTGCAGTTAAAAAATTACATGTGCTAGATACATTAAATACCGTATTTACCATGCACTATACATTTCGTAATATGCACGTTAACACACTGCTATATATAAATCACTCATTAGACTAAAATTTACAGAATGCAATAATATTTACATACATATAACTACTATAATAATTACTACTATAATATTTACATTCTGTGCTCTTGAATGCATTAAGTTGTAGTACTACAGTTATAGTTACTATGCTTCCTGCGGCTCAAAGCATAGCTCTGCATGCTACGAGTACTTACACATTTTACCAAGGTACTATACACAGTGTGCTATACAATACATTATTCACAATACGCTGCACAATATTCTATTTATAAAATGCACATGCTTACAATATTGCACCCATGCATTAATACGCTCATTTCAAATATACATAATTAAACTATTTATATTTGGATAATATTAAATCATATTTTTTAAACACTGATATATGGTAGTTTTCAGAGCTTTACCGATTATAAAATTCTTATCTGACTTACCATTGTTACCCATAACACTTTACCAGCACTCTGCCGCAGGCGGTGACTCTGCACCGTGAAGAGGAAACCGTTTAGGTCTAGTAATGACTTGGCAATTACATCATCTGACATGTGGAACAAAAGGGGTTCTGGAAAAATAAGGAAGAACCGAGGCAAAAGCAGTCGAACTATCAGGGATTAAACTGAAGCCCGAGAGATTTAGATAAATTAATCAGTTGCTAATTGTTTAATATCACATTATATGAGACCTCTGAGCAGGTGTTTTGTATAATAACTTAATTGAAAATTTTAGAAGTATCGAGAATCTCTTTGAAATTTAACTTATCATATGTTTTTATATTCTGACAGAACAGTTTCTTGATTCCATACAGATAATTTGTAGGCATTACCAATTTTAAACATATGTGCAATAAAAGATTTATTTACAGAGAAAGAAGAACGCCCATAATTGTCCTTGGAATCTGATCTGTAGCACTTACAGAGGATTCAGTTCTTTGTCACGAAACGAAGTTCAAGTTGTGGGTGCATCGCTGATTATGTGGGAAACCACAAGTTTAAAAAAAAAAGCTGCTTGTGTTCTAGATAATATTGAACTTTTAATCTAGCAATGGTTTTAGCTTGATGGTTATAGCACGGGTCTTCAGCTTAATTGCTTTATACGAAAACATTCATTTTCCGGAATAAAGAAACCAGCATTATTATTCTTTTCAGTGTTCATCTTGAAGAGCTCATAAAAATAGAGATTCAAGTGAAACATAAAAACGTTTAATAAAAAAAAATTGCTAATTAAATGAAAGTTTAAACCTGTGCACGGTTTAATATTAAATGATCGGCAAAATTACTAAATATGTTGAGATTATAAGAAGTAGTATCAGGTTCAATGTTTCTTCTAACCTTCTTCGGAAACATACAATGACCTGACTAGAACAGAGAGCTTACTAAAGCTATGTTCACTAATTGTAGTAAGTAGACAGGATACAGACGAAGGGTATACAAAACCCTTTATTTTTTTCTTTATATACAATGACTTCCGTACTTCGGAATACAATGACCCTCCACTCGGGGTCTAACGTAAAAGATATCAAAATAAAACTAAACTCTAATTTAACTTTAGAATAAGATTGGCCTTATAATAACAGAAAGCGTATGTAGCACAGAGACTGTGAACACTACAATACGTTTAATTTATCAAGAGGATTAAAACCTCTGGCCTGGAAGGCAAAGTAGCAACTGCGTAACTTCTAAGGTAAGCGGCCTGCTTCGAACTCACGGCTTCCTCTCTTCTGCTTGGCAAAAAGGCCACACTTAAATACTTGGCGTTCGCCAGACAACTTTGCATAAACTCCTTCACGCTTATAATTCTGGCCGGAAGTAGAAAATAAGAAGTGATAGTAAAGATTTAAAATAAAATAAACGTTAGTAAAACTTAAGATCCTTACATACTTCCCGCCAGAGTTAATTAGTTTGAAACTGAGGTCTAAAACGACCT